CACATATTTACGACAGAAAAGTCTAGAAAATGTGCAAAATGTTTTCAATTTCTCCTCTGAGTGTTGCAAGGAGGAGTGATCTACTAGATTATTAAAACAGAAAAGTATCCTCTTCTAGTATTTCTAGACTTATTTATTTTTTCTCCTGTTTAGTAAAAAAGTTCAGGACCAAGAAGCCATTAGACCAGGCATTCTGTGCTAACATGACATGCAAACTTTGACTGATCTACTGGGAAAATTTTTTAAAATTAGATAATCTAGAGAGCTACTAAGACACAAAGAGATGGGAAAGCATGAAATCTGTGTGGAGTTGTAAGTACAGAAGTGATTACCTGAAGCAGAGGTCAACGAACTGCAGCCCATAAACCAAATCCATTCTACCACCTGTTTTTGTGAGGTCCAAAGAGCTGAGAATAAGTTTTACAGTTTTAAATGGTAAAAAAGAAAAATAATATTAAATGGTATGTGAAAATTAAGTGAAATTCCACTGTCAGTGCCCATAAAGTTTTGTTGGAACCCAGCTACTCCCATTAGTTCAAGTATTGTCTATGGCTGCTTTCATCCTACAAAGGCACAGTTGAGTAATTGACACAGAGACCATATGATCTGCAAAGCTAAAATATTTACTACATGGCCCTTTACAAAAAAAAAGTTTACCAACACCTAATCTAAAGTCTGTGACATTTAAGAAAACCAGAGAGAGAAACATGAGAGGAGTTTTGTGAAAAGATCTCGAGGACTTGCAAACTCAGGATCAGTCAACTCCTTGGCCAAAGACACTCAATGAAGGCTCTGTTGAAGCTGCAAGCAGATCCTCTTCGCAGAGTTAATTTGCCGCTGGGAAATGCTACTCGAAAAATCAGGGAGTGAAGGGGACATTGATATGCACCAAACACTCTCTGCAAGACTCCAAACAAGAGGTAACATTTAATTCCACATGATTTGAGGTGGGAAAGAATGGATTTAAAGGACAGAAAGAGTTCAATGAGGGTTCACTTGCATTTCTTCCCTAACAAAAACCTGGGGTGAGAGAAAGAATCAAAGCCATACTTATATAAAATTTGCCAAAGAAATTAAATTGGGATCTATTGTAAACATCAGTGAGGATGGTGTAATTCTTTGAGTTCAGAATGTAAACTACAGTTTCAATTTTATGATGTGTACTGAACAGCACTCCATGTGTACAAAACAAATGGACATATAATCTCCAATGTTTTACTAGAAAATGTCTGAAAAATAGTAAATTCTTGAGCACATAATGCACATGATGGATTAATTAACCCTCTTTGAAACATAATGAGGTAGAGATGGGGATTCATATCCTGATTCTCCAGATGACAAAATAGAAAAGAAAGGGAGTTACTGAGCAATGACCACAAGGGAAAAATCTCAGAGTCCTGAGTTTTAACCGAGTCCATCCATAGTGCACTCTCTCAACTGGCTCTATCCCCGTCTGAAGATTGCTTTTTTAATAGATTAGGATCTGGGGTTTGTCATCTTCTAGGAAAGCAAAACAAAAAATGCAAGCAGGTATAAATGCATGTGAGTTTGCTGAAATGATAATGATTATATTTGTAATTTGTAGAACTGTTACAAAAAGTCTGAGCTGGAAGCACATTTTCAAATCCCTTGTTTTACAAACAAGGAAAACTGAGGTTCAAAAGGGGAAATTTCTTATCTAAGGCTATACAACTAAAACCTCTTTGAGCTCTTACATCTGTGTGTGGGTATTGCTTTGCTTTGACTTCCTGGTCTCTTAGATAGATAGCATCCAACATGCCTTCCCTTTCACCACCTTACTCACCCTACCCACTCCATAAACAAACTGTTTCTCTCCATGCCTGTTTCTAACCCAGAGTTCATCCCATCAAGCACCCCCTGCCAACACACACAAATTTTGAACAAGTTTCTCTTAACCAGCATTTGGTAATTTTACTCCCATGGCTTAGTAGCATTGCTTTTTCTCAGCAGACCCTTCCCTTCCCAGCCTCACCCTCATCCCAATTCTCCAACATAACTGACAATGAGAAAATGTAGGACTCCCTCTTTGCCCTCTTCCTCAACAAGAAAACCTGGCCAGATTATAACTGACTCTGTGCTGAGCCCTGTGCCAATGACAGCATAAACGTCCCATATGTTATAAACCAGCAAAGCTAGAAATATATTTGTGTCTGATATAGTAGGCTCTTAAGTCCTGTACCTGTGCCCATTCCAGAAATTTCTGAAACTATGAATTAAGTGATAATCAAGACTCTGAATACTCAGTCTGAGTTAACTGACTATAATAAGCAAGTGAGGAAGAGAAAGATTTGTGTTTATACTCTCTCTAAGACAGGTATAATTTGATGTTTCAACAAGCCAGATTGAGAACCACCTCCAGAAAGGCCATATGGGCGATAAAGATGGATTGTAAAAATAAAAAAAGAAAACCAAATCAATAAATGTCCTTCTTGGGTAATAAGACAGCCCCCTGCCTTGAAATAGGAATAATGATGGCAGTAAAATCAATCCACCAGCTTTACAGATGGGAGGAGAAAGAAAACACCAGTAATTTTTTCTGCTTTATTTTGTGGGGGGGGGGGGTGTGTGTGTGTGTCTGTGTGTGTGTTTTCTCTCTAAACCACCTTCTCCTACCTTCAAAGGGCTCAGGAGTAAAATCTATGGTCCATATTTCAAAATAACCGAGGGGCTCAGAAGGTTCCCTCCACATGTTTTTGTAAGGAATCCATTGCTGATTTTTTTGTGTTTCAAGCAGGCACAAGCATTCTGGCCCCATGAACTCACAGAGTTTCCCTAACTTAAAAGACTAGGGTGTAGAGCATTTTGAAACCTTGCTGGATTTCTGTGTGTTCTGTGAGTTGGGTGATTCGCTCCCCACAACCTCATCCCTTTTCTTCCTTGTTCTCAAATGGCACAGGATCCACCTCATTGTAGAGCTCCTCCCAGGCTGCCTTGCCAGCTGTCCTTCTGCCTGCCTCCCTCCTTCAGCTCTAACTTCTGCAGAAAGCTCCCATGTGGGATGTATGATATGACAGCAAAATCTTCCTCTTCATGATGTGGCTGATAATTTCCCCTGTTTTCTGAAAATAACAATTTGGTGACCCAGATTTGTAAAACCCAGAGGCAGCATCAAGTATAATCTAATCTATCTGACTATTGAATTTGCTTGTTTGTTCACTTGAACACTTTTCCGATCTGATATGGCTATTATTACTGTGGTGCCTGGGCTTGCTAATACAGTAGCTCTAGATGAGTGCTCTGTTTCATTTTGCTCTATAGACAGGGCCCGCTGGGTGACAGAGTATGGGGAAGTGCCAGGGTCTCACTGGGGAAGTTGGGGTAGTCTGAAGTCTCTGGAGCCCCTCCTCACTTCCTTTTCTGATAGCCATGTTTTCATGAGTACTCTGAAGAAAGGAAGGCACTGCTCTCAGGATCTTTAGGTGGTGCTCTAGGTCTCACTGCCTAGACCTAGACACTGGAGCCCTGGGCTTCATACTAGCCCAGCATAAGCAGGAGCAGTGGGTCATTTGGGGTATGAGCTGAACATGGGGCATGTTTTCAGTAATACCAAATGATACCAGCCTTCTTGTGGCTTTGAGGACTGGAAGAAAACAACATGGTAGCTTCTGTTTTATAGATATTTCTACCACCCCGCCAAAATGATAAAACAACACTCAACATTGTGATTGGCTATCATTCAGGAGGTCAGTTAAAGGGAATTCTCTATCTACCTTTTCTCTAAATGCTTCAAACTCTGGTGCTTCTTCCATCCTCTGATGAGTGTCAGTACATTCCTGGTGAATGGTGTGGCCTACATACCTATCTTTTAAGACTGTTCTCAAGGTTTATAGCTCTTATAAAAGGAAAGGTTCTCTGCTCTGGTTCTGATGTGGAACTCAACACTTCCACGCCAGTGAGAGGAAAGAGAAAGGCCTTGGCAGGAAGTACCTTCTTTGGGGAAAGTTGGGACAGAGGTGAATACTGATGTTTAACAACTGGGTCTGGTCCCAGAGCACAGCATCTCTGTCTAGGCGACACCCAGTGGGCCTTGTCAATTGAGCAGATAATGAAACGGAGCACTCATTCAGAGCTAGTGTGTTAGCAAGCTGCTCATCAATGTCCCTTTGAGAAGAAAGCCTTCAGTACAGAGTAGGGAGTGAAGTGGATAACAGGAGGCTGAAGCCCTGGGTGGTTAAGGGAAGGAGACATTAACATATATAAGAGGCCTGAAAATGGGAGTTTCTACTGCAGAATGTAGGCTGAGAACCTCTAAGTGTTGAGTGGACATGAGTTGTTCTAAGCTAAATAAGACTAGGGTGCTAGGGCTTGAGCCAATTTAGCCAGATATACGATGCTACCTTAGCTTAAAGTTAGGGACGGATGGACAGGCTTTGATGTCATGTCTCTGGAGAGGAGAATAAATGTGTTTCTTCACTTTGAATTCTTACCTACCTAGAACTATTAACGCAAAGACGGGTCCCAAAGAGGCAGCAACAGGAGGGAGCAGGTGCAGAGACTGATAGTCTGCTGAAAAGTGAGAACACTCCCTTTCTGGGGCTGAGACCAAGAAGCCTTTACTAAGAAACAGTCTCATATTCATCACAAGGAATAGGCTGGGGACTCAGTTGGGGTTTCTCCACTTCTAACCTCTCTAATAAGGACAAATTTTTCCTTTACTAGCCAGCAGAGTAGAAAACAAGAAGGAAGGAAATTAAATCTTTTCAAGTCATTAATTTTTCTTTCATTTCTAGGATCCAGTGAGCCCCAAGCCCCAGCTGGGACCACCTTCACTGCCTACATTGCCTGTACAAACAAGGCTGCTGAAACCAGGGAACTAGCAAGTACAAAAATTTGCTTTCTTAGGCTCGTAAGTTATTCAATAGGTCCTTGCCAATGGCCCTATTTCTGAGATGATAAAATCTTGGGCCCTGAAAGGTTAGTGTCTCTCTCTGGAAGTTAAAGGAGAAAGGAAACAAAAGTACATGTGCAAGATCCTTTACCTTCAGCGGCTCTTTTAAAGAAGACTTTGCAGCTTCCACATGTGAGAGCTCCATAGTGACACCCAGAAGCTTCATCTCCACAGATCAGGCAGGTCTTCTGGGGTGGAAAGTAATAGTCAATGGGCAAAACGTGGTCTCTGGCAGTCTCCAAACTGAAAAACACAAAAAACCAATGCAACACATGTTAGTGGATGGCAGAAATAGGCAAGTGAAGTCTGAAGTCTTCAGGATTGACTTGCATGTGTAAATTACTATTATTCATTGCTCAAGTGAGTTAGTGTGAAGCTGATTTTTTTTGAGGCTTCTCCTAAAGATGTTGTTGGTAGGGTGTGAGAGAACCTTTTTGGATCTTGTCAAGGTATTAGGGAAGTTCTCTGGTAATCCTTAGCCAATCTCATAGTCTATGTCTATATTAGAGAACGAGGAAGGCAGGAAACCTGAGGTTAAGTTATCTAACTTAAGTTGGTGTTCAGGCAACATTTTCAGAGTAATTAAATGATATGAACCCAGCTTTGTGACTTTACCTCATCCAAAAGGAGACCTATAACAAAACCAGACCAAATATCAAATCAATTTGATGTTCCTTGCTTTAGCTCCTTGAGCCTCAAATCTCATCTATAAAATAGGGATAATATCTCCCATCCTATTGAGCTGCTGCAATATAAACCTGATGATGGATAAAATGCCCTTAGAATAAATACACAAGGATCCTGATTAGTATTGTCACAAAAGTCTTATTCTTTTTTTCCCCATTCTTTCACTTTTCTTAGGTGTTTCTCTAGATCACATGGACATCTGCCTGATCCCATTCCACAACATAAAGTAGCAAGCATAATTAATCCCTATGCTTAAGGCTACTGTTGAAAAATGATGTGCAGTGATTCTGGACAGCTTTTAGGCTACCATCTATATACTTGACCATTAAAGGACTCATGAGTTCTTTGGGCAAGAATGGAGCTTCAGAAGTCACTTTGTCTAACTGCCTTTCTCCAAGAATGTCCGTGCCTGAGTTCTTCCAGACGGATATGAAGAAAAGAGACCAGAAAATCTATACTAAAACCTTCATGGAAGGTTAATTCTCACTCTCCTATAGTAAGAAATTCAAGTTTGAACAAAATGGAACATGGTTCTCACTACCCAAAGATCAACTTTTGTCTTTTCTATGTCTTATGCCTAAACATTAAACAAAACTCACAGTAGAGTTGCCTCAGATAGATGACAACTGCCCATGCTATCATTTGAAGGAGTACAACTGCTATATTTTATTTTAAGTACTTCTTCCTTACTAAGGAATGAAGAAAAATTAGCCCTAATGGGAGCCTGTTTGCTGTATTGGGTGATTTCAACACCTAACAATAACTCCGTAAAGACAAGCTTATTTTCTCATTTTTATATCTATTGTACAGATGAAAAAAGACTCGGAGACGAGAAGCGCAGGACAATTTGACTCCAAGTCCAACAATTTCCATCAACATATTGTCTTCTCACCACTCACCTTTACTTTCCACCAGTGGCCTTTTGATTTGAATGCTCAGCACAGTCATCAGAATTTTTAAAAAATCATGAAAGGTGCTCCCCTCAACCCCAAGTGAACAGCTCTGGCAGGACAAGAGCAAAGAAAACTTTCACTCACTTCCCAAGCACTTTAACTGCAAAACACAAATATCAGCCTTTATTCAAGTCCCAAGAACAATAGAAAGCATTCAAAAAATTCTGCTGATATGCAAACTCAGTGGCTGGATATCATGGCCTATCTTCACTCCCCACAAGCCTTCCTTTCCCTACTCTAACTAGAAAGCCAGCAAGAGTACTTCCACCAAACCAAGGCTTGCAGGGCCATAAGTTCCACAGAGAAGGAGCTTACTTTCAATATACAATTCAGCTAAATACTAAGATCATAATTCCTATGCCTAAAAATGCCGTTTCCTTGGGTAAAAATTGTGCCCCTTTCTATAGTCCTGAATGAAACATGGAGAAGAAATAGAAAATTTTCACAAATATCTTCCTCCTTTCTCCACCTTTTTGACTTCTGTTACTAACACAAACAGTCAAAATAAAATCAGAAGAACATGTATTTAGGCACTCTACGTGCCAGGCCATTTCATACATATCACCTCATTTAATTTTCCCAACGACCCTACCAGGTAGCTCTGTATCATCCCTATATTACAGAAGAAGAAACTGATGCCCATAACAATTAAGTAAACTTGTTCAAGATCTCGCATCTATTAATAATAAGTGGCAAGGCCAGGATTTCATCCCGGGTGAGTCTGACTACAAAGTGTAGATTCTTAGCCACTGACAAACCATGTTGTACAGCTGAAGGTTAGGATTAGGTAAGTTGATTCAACTCAACTTTTAGCACCTAGCCCTATGGACCACGCACAGGGGTAGGTGCTGAGGATATAGTGGTGATCGAGATATTTTTCTTGGCCCTAAGAAACTACTATTATCTGGTAGAGAAGAAAGACAGGAAGTAGCTAATTATAAAGTAAGATAGTAAATGATAAAAGAAAGCAGACTGCTACATATGAGGATGCACTTCAAAGATAGGATTATTTTTTGAAAGACACAATGTATGTACGGGTACACATATGTATGTATGGGTAAAGGAGATGCTGATGATGCTGATGATGATAATGATGGTTATTATTAGATGATTACAAAATAAATATCAGATAAACAAAATGGAAACATGCAGAAAGTAAATATGAGCTCATTTTGTAAAGGACCTTTAAGAAATAGAAATGGAGAGTTGCTCTAAAATGGGTATAAAGTTTCTGTTAAGCATGAAGAAAAAGTTCTAGAGATCTGCTGTACAACATTGTGCCTATAGTTAACAATATGGTATTGTGCCCTTAAATTTTGTTATGAAGGTAGACGTCATGTTGTGTTATTATTAAAGAATGTTTTTTAAAGAAATATAAATTTTCAACCATACTAAAATTGAAAATACAGTTAAAATTGTTTCAAAGAATCTAATCAAATTTAAAAACAATGAAAGACAAAATATTCATTAGAATTTTGTTTATTAGATATGAGTTTAATAAAGTGCACCTTGAACAAAAATAACTGTAAAGAAGGAAGAGGAGGAGAAATAGTTAAAGGGATTCAGAATCTGGACTTTTACTAGTTGCAACCCATTTTGACAAGAGACCTGAGATAGTAACTCCTGGCATCACTAGGTCAGTTTCTGCCTCTCCCCAACTCCCTCACTAGCAAAATATTTTGGATATCGCTCCCACTGACCCTGACCTAGTGTGGACAAAGGGCACATTGCAGTTCTGACTCATGAGCTGAACTTTGGGTTTTGGAAATGAAAATTCCAACTGCAGTCCCTCTCTGAGGCTTATATCCTAGAGTAACTTGTGCACATGTATACCAGGAGGCACATGCAAGAACAGTCATAGCAGTTTTGTTTATAAAAGCATAAATGATAAGCAACCACTGACAGGAGAAAAATAAATTGTGGCACACATGTCCAATAATACAATTCAGCAATGAAAAGGAATGGAATCGAGCTATGCATAGATGAATCTCAAATACTAACGTAAAAGACATAACTCACAATCGCATACATCCAATATGATTCCATTATATAAACTTCAAAAAGAAGTAAAAGCAAACAATATATTATTTGGGAATGTAATGTGAAAACTTATCAAAATGCAAGGGAATAATAAAGCCCAAATGTAGGATAGTGGTTACTTCTGAGGGGAGGCTGGGAATGACGATAAGAGAAAAAGAAAAGACGATACAAGTAGATTATGCTCTTATTTTTAAAATATTGACTAAGCTGCCATTACATGCCTGACATTCTTCTAGGTCCTAGAGATATAGCAATGAACAAAACAGACAAAAATACATGCCTTCACACAGCTTCCATTCTAATAGCACTGATGCAACAATGATGTTAATGTTGTTGATTCTTTAATCAGGGTTCATAAACATTAATTTTATAATTATGCCATATAACTTATATATTACATGTATTGTTTGATATGACTAAAACAGCACATAATGAGAAAAATTAAAAGAAAAACTTCAGAAGTTTTGAATATGTTCCTAAATAGCATCGTAATTGCAAACAGAGCAGAGGTTTGCTTTGAGAACAAATTCAGAATTTGCACATGACATTGTGTTTCTTCTTACCTTCCGTGGGTTGTATGTTCACTTATTATCCTGAGGCAGGGCATTTGGTTTTATGAGTCTGAAGCAAAAGCAATGCCCCATAGAATGGAAGGTTTCTGAACCAGAATACCACTTGCAATTCTTCAACAGTTTCATAAGTAATTAAATAAAAGTGGATTACTAGAAGCTGTTGGCCTGCCAATGCTGGCTCATGGGGAATTTGGGTTTAGGAAACCTTGGCACCCAGCTGAGATCACTAGGTCTCGGTCTCTCTCTCTCTCTCTCTCTCTCTCTCTCTCTCTCTCCCTGGCTTCTGACTCTTTTCCTTTTTCTCTCCCCTCCTCTGCTCCTCCCCCTGCCCCCCAATTCTCTTTTCAAAGGAGGAATTGGGAATACTTTGAAGGATCTCATTAATATAACTAAGTCCCAGTAATGACTGTGGAAGCAGGGTGAAATGCAAAAGCAACAGACCAGTTTTATTTGTTAGAGATGAATGGCAACTCAACAAGGCTTTGGAGACAGCCAGACCTGGGTTAGAATTCTGCCTCCACCACTGAACTTTGGGTGAAGTAACTAAAGCTCTCTGTGCTCCATTTGCCTCATTTATAGAGTTGGGAATACCTTCAACTCTAGATGGCTTTTGTGAGAATTACGATTACATTAAATAACATATGTAATAGCTCTTGCCTCTGTGCCTGCCACATGGTAGGAGCATTGTAAGTCTTGGTTGCTGTAATCTTTTGTCTTACCATAAAAAATGAAATATCTAATATTCTAAGAATAAAAAAGAGAATTTTTCTTGCCTATGCAGAGCTTTTAGAGAAAGGTAAATACATGAATACATGTGAGGGGGGATGTAGGGCATAGTGGGTGGGGAGAGAGGGAGGGAGAAATAGAGAGGGGAAGAGACAGAGGGAGAGCAAGCCTAGATATGTAAACAATGAGGATTCAATAAAGTTGTGAAGGTAAAGCAGCCCCACACCACTGCTGACACAGTGCTTAATAAATGGTCATTACTACA